TCCACTTTCTCTATTCTGTCCACAATCTACAGACACTATTTTGCAAGAGAAGATGCCTGAGTACAGAGTGTCCCGTAAGCACATGATCAAAAGGATACTGTGATATTCTTTGCACCAAACAAGACGATCTGACCTAACTTTTATTGTCAAAAAATGTTTGGCTCCTCTGCTATTAATGGTCATAGTTCTTCCAAAAAAATATTTTCGTTGAAATTTCGGGAGAATGGTACGAGGTTCTCAGCGAGTTTCACCAAAATATATTGTAACGGAAATGGCCTGGGGTACTCACGTTTGAAATGGGCGGATCGAAATTCATGGTATTTCAGTAAATGGGAGCCCCATTTGAGTTTCGCACCTGTTCTGGAGAACTATCTGGGTTACCTGGAGGAAACTATATAAGAGACGACGAGAACCAGACATGGGGAGTGAAGTGATAGCAGCGACCGGGTACAGAAGAGGTTAAACCCCGCGAGACTGAAGAGCGAGTTTTCCGTGTGTTATTGTTATTATTTKTGAAGTTGACGKTAATTTTGAAGTTAGTTTGTTCCTSTTCCGCATTTAAAGTTATACCGAGGTGAATAAAAGTTKKAAGCTGAAGAAAGAGTTTGATACTCGGCCATCCACGGTACAATATCGTATCATTCTCTCGAWTTTTCAAAAAAGAYAATTTTCTTGAAGAACTTTGACCATCAATAGCAGACAAGCCAGAGATTTTTTTGTTAATAAAAGTTAAGTCGGATCGTATTCTTTTTATCCAAATGATATCGCAGTATCCCTTTCATCATGTGCTTACGAGACACCCTGTATATTTTAAATCATATATGGCTATTGCCTAAAATTTTTCTTTAAAAGAGGGGTCTTTTTTAAGTTCTAGATAAAACATGTGCGGTCAATGCTGAAGTTTTATCATATTTTTACAAATAAACTTTCTTAAATATACAGGATGACTCAAAATTTGCGCCATTTTGTTTCAGGGGTTATAGGGGCTGACGTGCAGAGTAGGAGAAAAATATTGGGAATGTTTTTTCTGAAAATTTCTTGAAGGTATTAATTTTTATTTTCCCTTGGGCTTTTGATATTTAAGTCAAACGTAATCAGATATTTGCGTAATGGTAATGAGGCAGATTGCCTTCAAAAACTTTGCGGCATAATTCGTGATCTAATTATTGCAAATATATTAGTTTTTGAAAATAGTTAAATAGTTTCACTACAGGAATAACCGGGTACATACTTGTATATAATACACATGTGCCCTTTCCATAGCGTAAGTTTCCCACATTATAAAAAGTCGAGTAAACGATCTATACTATTATAAGATGTGTTCAAATCTAAAAAAATACAAGAATCACTTTACTAATTGCACTCCGAACGAACACACATTCAACCAATTTTCTTAGAACTTAGAACCCCTTTACCAAGAAAAATTAGCTATGAGAAATGAGAGAATTTACAAAAGTTGCTAGATTTATTTCCTTCAATATACCATCAATTTTATAAAGACCTGCCCCGTAAGCCAAAGCCGCAAAAAATGAAAAAAGAAACGACTAGCAACCCAGATGAAGGTTCGCAAATTGAAAATGTCGAAGAACAAGATGACTACATAAATTTGTTGTCAGATTACAAATAAATTAAGATGTAGTAATGTTAACATTAGTTTTTGTAAAAAAGATTTAAAGATTCAAAAAAATTGTTCGCTTTGTCGTTTTTTGTATTTTCTGATAATTAGTTTTAATTCAAAGGCAAAACAACCCAAGTACTTTTTTGTTTAAAAATGCATTTAGAAATTGTTGTTTTTTTTTCGTGAATAGTAGTTAAGTTTTTGTACTTAATTTGAATCGTTATATCACACAAACTAATTTAATTTATAATTTCCATTGTAAGAAAAATTTGATGATTCATTTCTCTGAAACCAACATTTGTGACTTAGGGCAAATCTATGGCTGTAAGCTGTAAGTTGAATTTGTAAAAATTGCTTATCTTCCAGTGTTGCTCCCTGGCGGTGCTTACACGTTTAAATCGAAAGGGAGTAAGATTAATTACTTTACCAACAATAACACTTTAAATTAACTATTAACATAATATAAATCACCTTTCAAGTCACATTCACAATTACTAGTATTTTTAATTACAAAACAATGGCTGACTAGTATCTTAGACTATCTCAACAATTCGTGTTAGTGAGAGCTAGCGGATATGAAAGGCAATTACAAGTAAATTAAAAGTAATAGCGTCATATATCAAAGGCACAGGTTGCCTTTCTGTCTAGATGGTATTTTTATCTAATTATGGAGGTAGCACAGAGCATCCAACCGTCATAAAGAGTAATTGCTTCAAAATACTTCTAAGCCCTTGTGAATTCCATATGCAATTAATGGTTCTTGAATAAATTTGTTTTTACTAATATTACTTTCATTGTTAACATTTTGTTATTGTTATTATTCTAACTCAAATTAATTTAAAAAATATGGCAACTTTGAACTAATAATTCGGCTGAGTTACGACTCAAATTATACTCTTAATTAGATTGCATTTTTTGTGCCTCATTTATGCTTTAAGCTAAAAGCTGAGCTTTAAAATAAGTGTAGAGCAGTACTGTTAATTTTTTTATAAAAGTTGTACAACTTTCGTTGACGTGCTTTTATTAAAGTGATAGACTTGTTTTAAAAGTGATAGAAAGTTGCTACTGATCAAAAATAATATTTATCAAGTATGGTACGACAAACTTAATGAGTCTAAAAATTAAAAATTAAAAGTTAAAAATTAACTGAAGAATTCGAATCGTTTGAACCAACTAAATATTAAATTTCTTGCATTTATTTTATGGGTCGAATATATTATTGAAGTTGTAATAAATGTTACAACTGTGTAAAGGTGACCAGTTCAACAAAATTAATGTAACATTTAGATCAAAGGGGGGGTAGTAGAATTATTGGAAAATAAATCAACAGATTCCAGATTGGTTCTAGATCCTTAAGCAACATTCGAATTATTATATTCTTTTCCGTCCTGGGTTTCAGTCAAAGTCATGAAATAAACGAGACCTATAAAACAATTTATTTCACACTTTGACTGAAACCCCGGAAGGAATAAAATATAATACCAATTACACGCGGTCAGGAAAATAAAGCAACATTTAAAGAATTTATTTTATGAAATTAGAGAACTCGATTTAAAATATGTTTTTCTTAATCCCCTGCCGGAAAGTACGCCCTTTCGCCACTGTTTTCGTTGGCGAAACAATCACTTTTACCCACTACAATAGCTTTCGCACGCAACGTTCTGACTCGGTAACTAGCAACGGCGAATTTTGGTTGATAAATCGTTTCGGGCGTTTTGTGGACTTTTCAAAGCCGTATGACTCAAAAAATGTCTTGGGTTGGTAAATCTGAGAAAGAAATATGTAAAAATTTGACAAAGAAGCAAGTCTTATAATTGAAACAGAAACGTTGCCAAAAAACCTAGAGAACGATACCTAGTAGCCTACTAAAAATATAAAAACCGGAAAATGCAGAACCAAAATTCACTTTCAAGCTCAGAAGAAAAAAATATGTGGTATATTTTACCAAACTGAAAGAAAATTTAAAGCCGCCAACTCTTTGGAGCTTATGGTCTGCATATGTTAATAAAGGCTTGAAGTACTTAAGGAAATGCAGATATTAGTGGATTTGGAAACTTAAAAGCCTTGCTAAAAAAATAGCAAAGGTTATAAACCAAAGCAATCGCTTACTTTGAGATGGAGTGACATCAAAAAATATATAAAGAAAGCGCCGAAAAAGTGTATTTAGCTTCAAATGCAGTTTTTTTTAAGGTATATATCTTATATATCTTTCAGGTTATTCTTACATTTGGAATTTGTGGTAGACTTCGATTCCAAGAACTAACAAATTTGAAAATCAAGAATGTAATTGCCGAAGGCAATTGATTAATCGCATTAGTGCTTAGAACTAGCACACAATATTTACAAGAATTTAGCATTAGATAACTTTTCTATGAAGCATTAAAAAAGTCTATTTCACTGAGGCCACCACAAAAATGCACAGATAATTTTCTTGTACAGTATAAGAAAAGAAAGTGATCAACTTACATCTAGTGATTGGCATTAACAAAATTAATGAAACTTCTTATACCATTGCTACATATTGAGCTTTGAAAATTGCTAAAAGATACACTGGCTATTGTTTTCGGCAGACTACAGCTACAGTTTTGTCTGAATCAGGTGCAAACATGCAACTGATTGAACAGATGAGAGGATGGCGCTCAGATAACTCTCAACTTTATACCGAACACTCAAAAAATAATCTACAAAAATGTTTTGAAGGAATTAATATAGCTAAACTATCCAGTATATTATCTGAGATTAATCCAAAACCATCCACCACAAAAGAAACTTCAGAGGATATTTTAAATCAAGATAATTAGTCTGCCTTTTCGTACGGATTAAGCTGAGACGATTTTTCTGAAAATTTTGATTCGAATGAGTCTCAGCGAGTGCTCAGTTAGCTCAGCAAGACATAAGCAGATTAATATTGAACTGTTCCTAATGTTATGTTTCAATCATTTGCGTTTTTCAGGGCCGAATCAAAGGGCTGACTGTGATACTGCAAATCAAAGAAAAATGCCACAATCAAAGCCTTTATCCACCAGTAAAAAAGAAATGTATTCTCATCATTCGGTAAAAGTTGATTTCGTTCAACCCAGAGAACCTCTAAACAATAAGAAAAAGGATTCCTTAGAGGACTAACGTCCCCAAGACTTTTCTTCTAACCGTTTACTTGTACGATCTTCTATTGAAGCTGAAAATTATACATTTAACAATTGTACCTTTAATAATTATACTTTTAAGTTACTGCTCGTTCACATTTTCAAAGCAACTTCTAGCGAAATAATAAAAAACAATTTATATTTTCTCCCATTATTCAATTTTTTAATAAAATTATGTACGGGGTGATTTCTTTGCCCGCTGCCTTCGACTAAAAACACTACCTCTGTGTGGAAAGTAATAACTTTCGCCACGCACGCTGACAGCTTGACCGTTTGTCACTGACTGTCAGCTATCTGTTATAACAACATTTTCAAAGCTGTTTTTTCAAAATCTTATATTTTCGACGGCTAATTTCCACCCAATATTAAGAAAAATAGCATACGGTACGTATTACAGTATCAACTTCGACAACTTTTACATTCATCATGGAGTAATCAGATGGGATGTTTTTGACAACGACTGAAAAATTATGCACCAATTTTGTCTTACAGAAGTTTTACTTGTATTAAACATTTTTAACTAAACTAGTATTTTTGAGTCGGTTTGAAACACGTCGATTATGCAAAATAAAGTAACCGCTAATTGTACTTTATGACCACTTTGTGACTGATTAATTTTCAGACGATTTAATGTGAGAACATATTTCAGGTTCCATTATAAATCTGTTCATCTTAAAACAGTAAACTAATCGAAAAAACAATAACTTGAAAAAATATATTGTAAAAGTACCCAGGAAAAAAGCGCAATTGTTCCGATCGGATTAAAGGTAGTTTACCTTATCAGTACACTAAAACGTTGTCACAGCATTATTTTGTATAAACCAATAGCAATACAGTTTCCTACAGTTAAGTAAATGGTCAAATGTTAACTGGGGAAAATTATCCTTAAGAAATCCATCAAAATATTGGCCGACAATAACATCGCACTGTTTTATTTTGTGTGATTCTTTATCTCTAACACCAATTTTCCTATAAAGCAATGTTTTATTCCCCTGTTTTTGTATTCATATTGTTTCAAAAGTTTTAAGGTAAAATTTTACGTTTCGTGAATTTAATGCATGACGGAAATTTATACTAACAATACTCACTATTAATTCGCAATTTGAGAAAATGTATTGTTTCTGTAAACTATTTAGAATTTCGTTTTTACAGAAGATTGCAAGCATTAGGTGAGGATAGGAACATGGCTACAGAAGATATTTTACGTCCGGAGTTCAACTTTTATTCGAAATATAAGTTAACGCATTTTGAAATTTGATTCCTCCTGGAAATTTCTAGCTGATCTTTACAGGCAAGTATAAGCAAGCAAAAGACACACTCATATATTTTATGTCTACATTGGGAATTTTCAATGTTAACTACACTTTATTTTATCACTTCTTATTACTAGGTGACATAAGTTTCTACGCTACTTCTGTGATTCTACACAATTTCTACAGAATCAAAACTGGCAGGTATAAAATAACATTTAGATCCAATTTCCAATAAGAGAGCAACATGTTTTGTCAGAAATGAAACAAAAATAAATTTAACTATTATTAAATATTTAAATTTAAATTATACAACTAAAACTATACTGTATCTTTAAAAATAGTTTTAAGAATATTTTATTGGCATATTCCTTAATTTATATTCAAGCGGTGCATTTCCATTCCTTAATGTACAGCTGTATCTCGACTACGGAGAGGACTAGCCGTTTTTCGTTGATCCGTTTGGTTTGAAACAAGTCAATTAGAGGCAAGAGCGGATCACCCAGAACAAGGGGGGTCATGGGGGATCATGACCCCTCTTGTGCTAGGTTTATGTCGTTATGTCGACTAACAATAATGTTTCTAATTTCACAGACAACCAAAGAATTTCTATTACTAGACCCCCCCCCTGACTCGAAAGTTGCATCCGCGTCTGACTAGAGGGCGTTTTCTTTTTTTTTTCGTTACGTGCAATACGATTCCGCCTTAAGCACGTGAAAGATATCGGACGACCTGGGAGTCCCAAAAACAATTGTCCACAAGATTCTGGAAAATTATAATATGTATACACCCCTGCCACATTGTTTTACACCAGGCGTTACATGATACCGATTATGATAGTGGGTTAGCCATTGTTACTGACTGTTAAATATGATTCGGGAAGATCAAAATTTTCTGTCACACATATTATAAACCGACCAAGCCACTTTCAATAGCGCAGGGGGTGTGAATTTGCATAATATGCATTATTGGTCCGAGCAAAACCCACATTGCATGCGGCAAGTAGAACAACAAAATCGCTGGAGTCTGAACGTATGGTGTTGAATCGTAGAAAGAAAAATTATAGGACCACATTTTTTGACCAAACACTTAATGGAGCAAGGTTCTTGGCATTTTTAAACGTTCCTTTGCCACCGCTTTTGGGAGATGTCTACTTGCAAGCAAGGAGAACATGTTCCAGCTTGGTGGTTGTCCGGCGCATTATAATCGAAACATACGTCAGTATTTAGACGAGAAATTTTCAATTAGGGTTATTCGAAGAGAAAGTCTATTTCTCTGGCAACCGCGTTCGCCAGATCTTACTTGCTTAGACTTCTATTTATGGGGTAGATTAAAAGACCTGCTTTTCCAAGACAAACCCACAACCAGGGAAAATATGATGGGAAGAATTTAAAATGCCGTTAGAACCTTATCCAGGGCTGAGACTAAAGTAGCAGTTTTTTTCTACGGAATTTAGAGTAAGTAAATGCATTGAGAATGATGGATGGCATTTTGAACATTTGTGAGATGTTTTTGGCTTGATTTTGTGTGGGTAATTCTAAGACTTTTTAACTTTTACTGTTTCATTGTTATTATTTGTGCCGTTCGCCGGTAGTTTTTAAGCACGCTGCAAAACTAATTGCAATCCAATGCTTCAAAAATGTGCATTTTAAATAAATATTTGCATTTTCTTTTTTCTCTTTTTTTTTAGAACGACTGGAGATATAACGATGTGGTTTTCACTGAAATGTAGGTAATTTCAACTTGTGAAGGGGTATGTCAAATTACTAGTATCCTTCCATTTAACTATTTTCCAAAAATCAGAAAAATTTGTAATCGCAATAGAAAAGGCGATCTCGTTGATTTGTTTTAGATTAAACGGTTTAACAACAAATGGGCTTTTTAAAGATATTAAAATGCTCTTTCAAACTAGTACAAAAATAGTAAAATCGGTTAAGTACATTATACTTCAGGACATATTAACATGGAAGTATTGAAAACTGCATTAGCCTTTCCGTGTTTTATTATGAAAGATACAACAAATTGTTAAAAAGATAAACGATGCGGAATTACACAAGCTCTCAAATGACGTTTTTAAAGTTACAGCTCATCTCGCCCTTTTCCGAAATACCAAGCCTATTTTGTTTTGTGGTAGAAGTTACGTCTCCAACGGTTCGAGATAGGAATTTCAAAACATTTCCCAGTCATTTTTTACGCCTTTACTTTTAAGGACTTTACTTATAAGGATTTTTTTCCAAACTGCTAGTCCCTACCGTTTCGAGACACAGCCACTCTTTACCCGTATGGGGACACTCTGTATAGTTATGTAACACGAATTTTCATTATAAGGACACAGTTTTAATAAGACAGGATCTATACAAATAATTCACTTTCCATCTAAACCTATTGCAAAGTAGATCTACGTTTTAATGAGCAATAAATTAGAACTCCCAACAGAGAAAATGTTTTTCAATAACTAAAATAGCGTAGATCATTTATGATTGACTGATAATATCGATGAAAACTCTATGCAGGTGCGAATTAATTTCCGGTACTGAAATTGACCAGAATGTTTTTTATATAAATTTCTGTAAGCGAGACGAATTGATTCGCACCAGATACAATCAAACTACAAAAGAAAAAGTGTAATTATCTCCCATTATTCTGTGACAAGTGCGAAGAGGGTGCAAAAATTACCTCGTCCTTAGACTATCTCTGTATCAAAGGTCGACTTTCACGAACAAAGCTCCCATCTCGTTGTTCTATCTCCATTATAAAGGACGTGGAGTGGGTTATTTTGCAAAGTGGATATGTTCCAAGAAAGTGTAGTATAGGCCACAATTGTATTATGTCGTACATTTTGTCGTGAATACGGATTTATGGAGGCTTCACACTACTCGAATGAGGTGGAAAAAGTCTGCCACTTATCATTCAAATTGAAAAAGATTAATTAGTTCTTAGGTTTGAATTCAGTTATACATTAAGCAGCATACTAAATAAAAGAATAACACTAGAGATCATTAATATCATACAAGCATATGGAAAAATAAAAACTCTTTCACTACCTTACTTAAATTCCATTTTCAGTAGAATCAATTTAAAGTGGATCAACTTTCTTGACTAGCTTCTACACATAGGAGTAACTATCAAAAAAGATTAACTCTGGAAAACATAGAACTTTGTGAACCATGACATGATGTGCTGGTTTCTTCCTTTCCATCCCAATCTAAATAAGAAATAGTTGAGCTTTACATTAGCTTTCTAATGTCATTTTAGATGTTTTTCATATTACTTGGATTTTCTAAAACATCATCTAAAGTTTTATGATGTTTCAGCCGGATCAGTTACCAGTCATCGCCAGACAAACTTGTCAATGTGGTTTAGAGATTTTTTAATTGGCCAAAGGAGACAACGAATAAAAGAGCTAATAAAAAACAAATCATTCCTCAATTGTGCTAGTCGACTGCTTAGAACGAAAGGAAATGTGTCTTTCAACAGTACAGATCCGGAAGTTCCTGGTGATATATTAGAAAATGAATTTCATAAATGGTCAAAAACCGGCGTTCTCAGGTGAAAATGGCAATACAAAAAATAGTGCTAATTATAATTTACTACAAACAAAAAGTCGCTAAAATATTGAAGAATTAAGAACTGTAAATGACGATTGGACGTACTAACTACTAATCTTTTTAAAATCAACCCTAAATTGGATAGAAGTAAACCACGTAAACACAAATTCATTGCTTGTATAATTTTAAGAAGAAAATATTTGGCACAAAAAAACTTATAATTAATTCAGTTCTGTCATTCCAAATAAGATAACTATGTTTCTACCTGTTAAATATAATCTAATCAATGAAGAAAATGTTTCTAAATTTGTGTTTACTTTATTTTCAATGCATGCTATTGAAGTCAAAGTTGAAAAATGTTTGACCATAAATATACAGGGTGGTTTTTCTGTGCGTGAGAGTCTATTATTTCCGTTGGTGTTGAACTTTCGGAAAATAGTTTCACATAAAAGTTGTTGACGCACAAAGTGCGCACATTTAAAAATATCTTATATGATACAAAGTGTCTCGGAAAAACGAGGCAAGATCAAAGTGTATATTTTTAAATAGAACTACCCATTTTTCATGAGTTCATGGAATGCAGCTTGAAACACTGCATATGCACCGTAAATTGTTTTTTTATTACTTGCGAAGTTGGCAGATTGTCGCCATTTTAGTAAAATTTTGCTTGAAAACATGGTATCTAAAACTTCATTGCAGAAGAAAAAAAGTAGTTAAGGATACAAAAAAATACGTCTTTCCAATCACCACAGATCCGTTAACGATTCTATTGAACCAAAATATCAATACATCGTACAGGGTATTAACAATGTGGACTTAAATCTAAAACTTTTTAACGCAATATAACTTCTGTTTTTCAAATGGTTTCAAGTACCTGTATATTAATGCGTCCTTAGATAGACAATTTACAAAGTTACAAAAATGCATTTACACTTTAAGCTGTGAAATCAACCGTTTTCAAATTATAAATTTATTTAAACATTTCAAAAAGTTGTTACATTTTGTAAGGTGGCTATGGAATGCATTAAAGAAGTGTCAAAATTTGATGATACTTGACATAATCAATGAAAGCGCAACGTTTTATAAAATTTAATAAGCAATAAATGCAATAAAGGTGCAAACGTCTATAAAAATAAAAATATAAAATTATACCTAAAGTGATATTTTAAAATAAATGTTCAATATGATTTCCGATAACATTTACGCAACTATTAATATCTACGTTTTTGAAATGAATCGCTAACGCAGTTCAAAACAATATTGTTAATGCTTCGAAAAACAGTTGGTTACTTCATGTCATCTTTTGTAGTTGGAGTTATTTTATAAATTTCGTTTTTGACGTCAGCCCATAAAAAGAAATCCATTTTTGTCAAATCGGGTGAACGAGGTGGCCACTGAACAGGCCCACCTCTCAGGAAATTAATTATTTAGGTGCTCATGAATTTGAGCTGTATGGCGAACTGGAGCTCCATCATGTGAATACCACATTATTTCCTTGATATAATTAAGTATATGATTAATTAAACGTGGAAATTCAAATTTTCACATTTATTTATTGACTTCCATAGCCACCTTACAAAATGTAGCAACTCTTTGAAATTTGTAAGTAAAATAAATTATAATTTGAAAACGATTGACTTAAAAGAATAACGATTATGTTGTCTAGATCAGTAATATTTGGTTAATAAAATTATCAGTAGGAGTAAGACCTAAAATGATCCTTTTTTATGCTTTATGTAATCAGCATGTATACAAATATTCGAGCAGGAAGAC